TTTTTATGTGGGAGTGAGGTGACACTGGGGCAGGAGACTTATTGGATTAATTTCCTTTCATGTAGTTTTAAACTGCTTTGTGGGGAATTAAAGCGTGGAAATGCTGATGATCTGGAAGTGCTTGTAGTGTTTCTGAAATGAGAACCGCTAGCATTACAAAATTAATGAAATGAGAACAACTAGCATTTTGCCAGTATTCTTTTTTCTTCCTTCCTTATTAGATCATTTCTGGTACGGAAAAAGGATGAGAATGTAATATGAAAATACAAAAGAGTTACAAATAGGAGACACTGTTGTCTGCACATCCTGTACAATTCTGAACTTATGCCTAGACAATGGTAGAACAAGCCTCATTTGGAAGCGCACACAGTTACAGTAGAGCACTTTTGCTATATATTCTGTGGAACCTACATATATACATCTTTTATATTCTTAATTTTCACTTAATAAACAGTCAGCAAACCATTAATACTTTGTTGGATAAGACGTGTTGTATGGAGAATGATCATGAGCACTTACTGGATAATGCCTGGGATATTATAATAATATCTAATTATTCTTTCTTTCTTGTGTACACTATTGTATTGCCTGTGAAATAGTTTTTTTTATTGCATTTTCCCAGCATAGTGGTACTTTTAAAAAGATTAACACATTAATAAAGAGGCTATCAATGGTGACTAATCATATATGATCATTTATTAACTGGGTTCCTAGATGTCCAGTATTGGAAACTGTATGCCTCTCAATACTAGTTGTAGGGGAACACACAAGATGCTCCGGATATACTCATGGCCTGCTGTGAACTTCCAAAGGCATCTGGTCAATCTCAGCAAGGAGAGGATGTTGGACTACAGGCTCTTCCAGACAGGGGTACAATCCTAATAGTGGGTGACCACAGTAAGCCATAACTGAGTGCTTATCATTGTGATAATTACTGAATTATCATTGGTGTTCTGTTCACTGATGAGGAAATCACATTTTAAGCAGCAATTGTCCCCATAGAAGCTATAGCGTATGGCTGCTTTGCGTTTTAAGGAGCGGCCTGTGTTCTCACTAGAAGTTGGTTATCAGACCTGGACTGCAAAAAACTGGAATGACCAATCCTAATTGTTATAGCCTGTATTGGAGGGCACACTTGGCTTGACTTTTTTCCCAGGTCCTTCTGCAATCTTACTGTGGTGGTACGATGGCATGGATCCAAAATAAACAGTAATTTTCAAATCAGCCTAAGGAGTTTGAAAGGCAAATGAGATTTTGCCACATAAATGCTAACAATTTACTCTCTCTCTCTCTCTCTCTTTCTGTGTATGTTTAAGAATGGGTGCATTTTTAGGTGCAATACTCAGGAACAGGATGAGATGAGCTAAATAGTACTGATTGGCTCATGGTTCTCTGTGCTCAGTTACAGGCCTGAAAAGGCAAGTACTAACTGGCTTTCATTTTTAGTGTGTTCTGTATACTTACAAAAGGATAAACATTCCCATGCTCAAAGCCTCTCAGTGTCTCTAATCAAAACGGCCTGGATCAGCCCTGGCTTGAAATGGAATCAGAGAACTTGGAAGACAGAAAGGCTGATTGCTGGGAAGTACATTGATAGGATCTAGTACTGCTTATCCTACTGGCATGGTTGACAGGACAAACTGAGCAAGTCAACCTGATGAACGAAAACGTGCAGGCCAGTATCTTATTCCCCACTGTGGTTAACAGGCATACCTTAGGCTAATTCTGTTATGCAAATCTATGCCATTTACGTTTATTAATTTATTGAATTTATATCCTGCCTTTCCTCTAGGAACTCAAGAGCAAATGTTCCACAACTGGCAGCTGTTCTGAATTTACACAACCCAGGTAGCTTTAGGTAAGCTTTCTACCTTTTTTAAAGAGCAGTGTGAGGTGATAGGGATGACAGTAGCACAAGAGAGTGGGTGCAGGAAAATATAGTACTGCATTATGCTTTAGTATATCATGCAAACTGTCCTATTACAGAACTATTCAATTTTTTAAGGGAAAGTAAACACAGCTGAGGCTACGTCCCTGCCCTGCAGAAATGTCCATAATAAGCTTTTACCAATGTATTGAATAACCCATATTTTCTTATTTCAAAGTTATAATAACTCTTCTCCAATACCAGACCTCTGATTCTTTTTTCACTATTGAAAATAAATGGGAAAAGTTCTATTTTCTATAGCTATGCCAGGCTTGATATACAGCTTGCCATGCCTGACCTACTGAATGAGTAGCTCTGGTTTAAATACGGATCACAGTAAAGGGGGGAAAGTTTTTCTTCTGCTACTTTGAAAAAACTATATAACCCATGTTGTTCTTTTACAAACATCAGGGCACAGCATCTCGATATTTATTTACTAACTACAAAGTACAAAAGAACGCACTCGGACTGAAATCATTTTAAAAAAAGGAGCCATGTCAGCCTGGGGTAGTTAAAAAAACCAAAGGAGTTGGTATTTTAAAAGCGGACACACTGAAGGCTACAATGCCACAAGGCTTTTTATTATTCAGGAGGGACATCTTTAAAAATTGGAACTGGAGAACACAGAAGGACGTTCAAAATTTGAAACCGCAGGCCCACAGAAAAATAGTAATTACCTCTCACGTGGACCCTTTAGAAAGAGATCCAAGTGACTGTACATTTATTTGCATATGTACCTGCAGCCTTTCTCTGCTCCCTATATGGACATCTGAAGCGAGTCAAGCCGAATCATCACCAGCCAGTCTCCTCCCCCGGCAGGTGTTATAACAAAAGCCCTCTGAGTCGGGGTCTACGCCCGCCCAGGGGGTGGTGCTGTCGAGACCGTCCCGAGCTCCTCCGCCGCCTAACCCCAAGCCTACCCCAGGCGGCGGCGGCGGAGGGAGCAGGAGAGCCCGGGGCTTCCGCGGGCAGAGCAGGCCTCACCTCGTCTTCATCCCCCTCGCTCTCCTGCGGGCTCGCCCCCCCGACTGCCACCCCCCTCAGAGCCAGCGGCAGCGCCATGCAGGCCAACGGAGCAGGAGGGGGTCAGCAGCAACAGCCGCCGCCGCCGCCGTCATCGTCGCAGGGTCCGGACCTGGGCTGCCTCAACGCCCAAAACGGCGAGGCCTCGTCGGGATCGACCACTGGGGAGCAGTTAGCTCACGCCAATGGGTTGCTGCCGTCGGCCAACAACGGCGACGGCGGTGGCGGCGGACCGAGCGTCAATAATGGGGTCTCAGCCCCCGGCGGGCCCGCGGTTGAGATGGGGGGAGGCAGCGGTGTCGGCGTCGGCAGCAGTGCCCTGAAGAAGAAGAAGCGACTTTCGCAATCCGATGAGGACGTGATCCGGCTCATCGGGCAGCACCTCCACGGTTTGGGCCTCAAGTAAGTGGGGCGAGCATGAGTCGCAGTGCATCCCCCCCAAATAATGTGTGGGCTTAAACCTGAGAAATGTGTGGGGGAGATCGTCCGGAGGATGAGTTTGCCCACCATGTTGTATTCCTAGCCGCCTACCCTCGCGTTGCCTTTGGGGGGAGATTTTGAGGTGAGGGTAGATGGATGATATTCCTCTTGTTTAATGTTTATTTTTGTAAGGAAGCAAAATCAGATGATTGTGAGGCGGGAGTATGGATCTAGGTTTGTGTTGATGGGAACAACTCTGGCAGACTTGTTTATTTTAAGAGCTGTTATATACCTGAGGGAAAGAGGCCAACACTTCGTATGTTGATCCATATTTCTCCAGGGGGACATTTTTTGTTCAAAATTAGCCTGTTACTATTTAATATCAAAGATAGAAATGTGAGGGCTAATAAATCTAGTGAATGTAGAGATGAAGGCAGTGAGATGATCAGGCCTGTTTTTCAGGCCTAGTCCAATGTGAACTTCGTATTGAGAGAACAGGTAGAACTTCTGTCATCTGTGACAGTAGGGAGGCCCAACAGCACTTTATTTAAAGGCAAATAGATTACAGAGATTGTATTGGTAAACTAGCATTTTGAACACAATAGTGTATGAATATTTCTTTGTTTAGGTGGGTCTAATACAGAAGTGTTTAGATTAAAAGAATCTACAGATATAGATGTTCTATAATTTTAAACTTGCTGGATAATTTAGATTGATAATGTTAAAACTGAACTTATGTCTACCTATGTCTAACACCCTTGGAATGTACCTAAAATTAATGTCAGATATGTTGACTCTTATGTAGCTTGCAGCACTGCAGTACTTTGAGCTGAGTAATAGGCATGCACTGGAGTGGGGGAGGGTGAAAAGCAAATAAACACAGTACAGTAATTTGGATTAAAACCTGACAGTAGTATAATATAATAGCTAGTTTAATTTTGAGACTTTATTAGGATGTATGGGAATATAGATATAGTGTCCTTGGAAAACTAAGGCCTTTATAAGCTGAGAACTTGAACCACTATAGGAATGGATTGGTATTAATTAACTTAGAACACAGAATAAGCATATCATTGACACAAGGCAAGTTTATAGCAAGAGGCAACAATTTGTTACAGACGTTAACATAGTGAAAACACTTTAGTTTTTACATAATGGGGGGAGTAGGAATCTAGGTTTATAAATCTATTAAGTAAAATATTTTTTGACAGAAAAATAGTGGGAAAAAATGTCATATTTGCTGGAATGTATTTTGAATAGTCCAGGTAATTTTTGTTATATTTTTAAAATATGTTGGACTAAGGCTATAATGGAGGGCTTATCTATAAGGATAAAGAATGGTCAACTTTTTAAGAACACTATGCCTCTCTCTCACAGCCAGACTGTTGATCTTCTCATGCAAGAGTCAGGATGTCGTTTAGAACACCCTTCTGCCACCAAATTCCGCAATCATGTCATGGAAGGAGAATGGGATAAGGTAATAAAAGAGGCATAAGGTTGCCTAATTGTAACAGTGATTGTAACCTTATGCATAGTGTCTTGAAATTAAATCCAATCTGTTCATTACAATGAAGCTTAATTCTGAGTAAATTTTCACAAATCTAGGATATTAATTTATAGATAATACAGTATATATCACCAGTTTGGGTTTACCTTTTTTTCTTTCTCTTACTGTTTTTTAACATTGCATTTTATAGGCTGAGAACGACCTGAATGAACTGAAGCCATTGGTGCACTCTTCTAATGCAATTGTGGTAAGAGAGGCTCTTCAACAAACTCTAGATATAAATAATTAACATATGTTTCTTTTTAATAGTTTAAGTTGATGTGCATGTTTAATTATATCTGTATGTCAACAGCAATATAATTTTTTCCAATTAAAAAAACCCTAAAGAAAACCCTAGTGCTTAGTACGCAAACCTTGGTGTTTGAACATCCCGATGTAACAATGTGGCTAAATTACATATATCTTTGGGATGTTGCTTAACTTGTAGCCAGGCAATAAATACAGTTTTTACATTTTATTTCTTAGTGAAATCATTCGGTGTGTGTAATTTAGGGGCATGGTTATTGTACAGGGTTGGCATATTTGTACAGTTACCAAGTATGTCATCTTGTTTTTTATTTAATAAAGCAATAAAGTGATCACTTTAGTGTTAACTGAGGCATATAGTATATAGAATAATGTCTACAATTAAGTAATTAACAATATATGTTGAATTAAAGAGACCTTAAAGATATCGCTACCACCTTTTCCCCCTTTTCTTTGTATGTTTTTTATTTTACGCTTATATTTGACAAAAGTGCAGCTTATTTTCCTCTAATTCAAGTGGAAAATAGCCCTGCTTCTAAAAACAGAGGAATTGACTGATGTCTACTTAGCTTTCTTGTGGTTGCTCTGTGTGTTATCAAAAGAATATTTTTCCTATTCTTTGCACCCTCCCCCATTGTATTGGAAGTGGTGTGTAAAACAGATGTTTTGCTACAATTATGCTTCTCTATGAAAGTATATATTGTTTTATTCAGGTTGAAGGCTAATCAAGTTAATTCTTTCCTCGAAGCAAGTACTTCCATATATCTTTCTTATGAATGGATAGATGATAACATAACTTATAGAATTTATGTAGTATACTAAAAAAGAATATAATCAAGTACTAAAAAGTGAAGAGGTCATGTAAGGCCTGATGAGAGAAAATGACAAAATATAATTTTTGTAGAACACTGTTTTCTGTAAAAGTAAAACTAGTTCTGTATGGATTGGAAATGGTGTGTAAAACAGTTTAGTTTTTTGTGCATTTCCTTGTGTTTGGATACCAGATGATGTTGAATTACAAATCTTAATATTCCTAAATGTTGAGTAGAAAGGATTAGTCTTATAATTCAGCATCATCTGGGGATCTTTTTTCAAAAGGCTATAGATAGCAAATCATGTTTTTATTATATAAATATACATAGGCTAATTTGCTAAAGGTATATTGAGCTACACTGGAATTGTCTTCTGTTGTAAATGGAACAAAACATTCTTAATCTTCTCTTGTAGATGAAATTAATACATTTAAAATATGTCTAGGTTAGAAGAACAATAGTAAGAAAAATCTTTCATTCTGTAAGATGTTGGTGTGTAAAATCCATTCAGTTCATAAATAATTGAAATTGAGATATGGAGGTACCTTTAGAATCATTCTTCGGTGCACTTCAGTTAGATTTATAAGAATGGATACCATAGTATTGCCTCTAGCAGTCATGTTCATCTTCATACCCAAATTACTGTATTGTGTGAAATGGGAAGGCTCAAAATCATGTCCACTGAATTATTTTCCTGAATGTATTAATTTGATATATTTTGCTTGGGAAAAATGTCATACTCTGAAACATGTTGCAGGAAGCAGCTCAGCGACTTGTGAAGTATTGCTTTGTGGGAAGTGATAACCTGTTTTGTTAAGGGAACTCAATGAACTATAATTTTTTTAAAGTTTAAGATAATCCTGGTTTGGGCAACTGACTGTAAAGTTTGATTCAGGCAAGCATTTACTTTATTAGGAAAATAGTTGATTCTTCAAGTGAACCTTGGTGATAATTGGACCCCCCCCCCCCCCCCC